GGCTTATAAATAACTTCTTTCAAGTGTCCTGTAAAACAAACTTCAGCAACTTTTAGCAGTAGTACCAAAGACGATATCTCTTTTATGTATATTTTCTGAATTATTTTGCAATAAATATGCATTGCTTTTAAGATTTAAAAAATGAGCTAGATAAAAACTATTTTTAAAATTATTTTGAGAATAAAACACATTGACAAAAAAGATGTCAGAGATATTTAAGTACACTGCTATATAAAAGGGCAATTTATGAAACCCATGTGATGTGATGGATCCTCTTTCTGTAAAAACAAAAAATATATAAGTAAAGAAAAAGGAAAAAAGAGAAGGCATGAATTCAAGTTTTACCATTCATGTCTCTAGGTCATCAATGATAGGTAATCCTTACTATTTTACTTTGTTTTCAAAGTGCTCTTTATTAAGTACTTTTGCAATTGGAAAATTAACAATAAATTTTTGTATGAAGGAACACACATGTATTTTAAGAGATAAAAAGAAATGGAGCAAAGAAAAATATGTACCATAGTCTCCATTCAAACATATTTGCAGTTGCTTCTATTTATCTGTTAATACAAGACTTTATCTTCCTCAAGTTAAATCTATTATAAATTTTTTTTTTTTTTTTTTTTTGAGACGGAGTCTCGCTCTGTCCCCCAGGCTGGAGTGCAGTGGCGCGATCTTGGTTCACTGCAAGCTCCGCCTCCTGGGATCATGACATTCTCCTGCCTCAGCCTCCTGAGTAGCTGGGACTACAGGCGCCCGCCACCGCGCCCAGCTAATTTTTTTTTTTTTTTTGTATTTTTAGTAGAGATGAGGTTTCACCGTGGTCTCGATCTCCTGACCTTGTGATTCGCCCGCCTCGGCCTCCCAAAGTGCTGGGATTACAGGCGTGAGCCACCGCCCCCGGCCTATTATGAAATTTTTAAACCCCCATGTGGTGTTTTTCTGAATGCTTCTCTTTTTCCTGACTATGCTCTTCTTGCTCTCTTCCAGCACTTGGTTCCATTATGTGAGGAATAAAGAATGACTTTTCAGAATATCCCAGCATAACACCCACAAAGATAACACTATATAAGTTACAGATACTTGGGAGGGAAACTCCCATTATCAAATCATATAGCTTTGCACTGGTCTGAAAAATTAGCAGCAAAGCATCCATGGATATCTTGAAAGACAAAAATTATAAATCCTGTTGATAATATTGTCTATTTTATTGTTTTTGTATATTTAATTTGTTATGTTTGGCTAAATGTCAGCCCCTTAGTTTTACAGATAAACTTAGTTTATTACTAAAAATAAACTTGACTATTTAGAAATACTCTTTTTGGAAATGTAATTTGTGTCCAAATTACATTTCTAAGGAAGTGTGTAAGTGTATTTTTACAAGATATGAATATAGAGTAATGAGACTTTCAAAACAGATCTTAGCTTCTATATTCAAATGAAAGTTGTTCTTCAAAAATTAATGTTAGGAGGCAGTACATATTTCAGTGACCCTTCCACTGCTTAAAGCATTTAAAAAGTCCTGGTAGATAAGCTTTTTGATGTGCTGCTGGATTCAGTTTGCCAGTATTTTATTGAGGATGTTCGCACTGATGTTCATCAAGGGTATTGGGCCTGAAATTTTCTTTTTTTAGTTGTGTCTCTGCCAGGTTTTGGTGTCAGGATGATGCTGGCCTCCTAAAATGAGTTAGAGAGGATTCCTTCTTTTTCTATTATTTGGAATAGTTTCAGAAGGAATAGTACCAGCTCCTCTTTGTACTTATGGTAGAATTTGGCTGTGAATCCATCTGGTCCTGGGGTTTTTTTGATTGATAGGTATTAATTACTGCCTCAATTTCAGAACTTGTTATTGTAATAAATATTTAGGGATTCGACTTCTTCCTGGTTTAGTCTTGGGAGGGTGTATGTGTCCAGGAATTTATCCATTTCTAGTTTATTTGCGTAGAGATGTGTATAGTATTCTCTGATGATAGTTTGTATTTCTGTGGAACCAGTGGTGATATCCACTTTATCATTTTTTATTGTGTCTATTTGATTCTTCTCTCTTTTCTTCTTTATTTGTCTGGCTAGCGGTCTATCAATTTTGTTAATCTTTTCAAAAACCAGCTCCTGAATTCATTGGTTTTTTGAAGGGTTTTTATGTGTCTCTATCTCCTTCAGTTCTGCTCTGATCTTAGTTATTTCTTGTCTTCTGCTAGGTTTGGGTTTGTTTGCTCTTGCTTCTCTAGTTCTTTTAATTGTGATATTAGGGTGTTGATTTTAGATCTTTCCTGCTTTCTCCTGTGGGGATTTAGTGCTATAAATTTTTGAAGTTACATTATAAAACAGGAAAAACTCAGTCCTATTACTATAACATTACACCTTATTTTTGAACAAAGATAAAAATCCCCAGCTTAAACATCCACTTTATTTGTAATATATTATCTCCAACTGTTTTGAGGGTGCTTCCAAAAATAAGGCAACCACCAAACAATAAACAAGTGTCTGCCAAGACTATAAAAACAAACAAAAAATGCAAGAACAACAACAAAAGCCCTATCATAGACTGTGAAGTCTTTCAAAGCATGAATTCCAACCTCCTTTCAACACTGATAGCATTGAAATTTTGCATAAATAAAAATTCACGGATATTCAGGGCCCATAAGAGGCTGATTATTAAAAATTATATATATAAATATTATTTGTTCATATATACATATATGTTTGTATATTGCCTACCCCTAAAAATGAACATATTTTGACGTATAAATATAAAACCTACATCCCCCAATTGTATTTAGCTTTGAAATGTGATTAATGATATCCAATTAGAGATTGACACACAGGTTACAGTCTATAACGTGAGAGAATCCATCGAAAAAAGATGTAAAAGTTCCAGTCAGTCATTCTAATTTACTAAAGCATGAAGCAATATGATGAACCTTGCACACGTTGCCTTTATGATCTGCAATCAGACAGACCATCCAAATTTGTAATTTAGAGCTCTGGAGTGTTCAATGTTTGTGATTTTTGTAGAGACAAATACTAACAAATGTATGGCACCCATATGCTTTCCTGCCTTTAAGCGTGGAGCCCACTGAAACTAAGAGCTATATCTAGCTTTTTGGCAGAAGATAGAAAGATTTGTTTGGGAAGAAAGCTATGGGCCACTAATATGAGAGAAGCTTTGAGAAACTAACTTTTCATTTGCAATTGGCACAACCTATTCCTAACAAACAATTCTGAAATGTTTACACCATGATACTTCCCTTGAAATAATTTGCAAAGGACTTTCCAATTTAACTTTAAGACATTCAAGTCTTAAAGTATCAATTATAGGAGAACTTGTTTAATATATTCCAGGATAGCAATAAATTTCCACCTTTGAAATAATAAACAGTTTTTATATAACAATGAGGAATCTAATACATAGTTTTCAAAGAATTCTGAAAAAAAAAGAAATAATTGTGAAAGAAGCAATTATTTGACTACACAGTAGTTGGCAAAATACAGTCTGCAGACCAAACCATGTAGACCACCTGTTTTTGTAAATAAAGTTTTATTGGAGCACAGCCAAACCCATTGTTTATATATTGTCTATTGCTGCTTTTACAAAGGAAGAGTTGAGCAGTTGCATTAGAAATCTTATGGCCAGCCAAGCCTAAATGCTATCATCTGGCCCTTTACAAAAAGTTTGCCAACACTTAGACTAGAGTATTAATTTTATTTTCTAATAATTATTTGTCAATAACAATGAATTCACAAACATTTTCCCACTCCATGGGCTAGAAAACTAAGTTAGACCCAGTGGTACAAGATAAACATTAATGACATCATGTTTCCCAACATAAAGACATTTGGAACTGGTGATTTACTCAGCCTAGCACCACACCTGCCTAGTCTAGATCCACACATCTGTATCAGGGACAGAGTATGCAATTCACATTTTCTGCCATTTTTTACAAGAACAAAGCTTCAGTGTAAAGGCTTAGTCACATATAATATTTATAATGATATATCAAAATCATCAAATGAATTACAAATAAGACATGATGAACTTGTGTTTAGAATGGGAAGGACATTTCTCACCAGGTGCTAATAATTTGAAGCTGGATTTGACTGCAGGCTCACATAAGTTGATACAGCACTCCCTTAATCAAAGGATAGTTTAAAAGAATATGAAACGAGCTGACACATTTTGACATTTGCCGATTGCAGATCAGATACATGTGCATTGCACATTGGAAATGCATTGGAAAGAGTTTTCATTCCCTTAAGTTATGGATTTTAAATCAGTTCCTGAGATGAACATTTCAAACATACAAGCATACAGTTTTGAAACACTCACCCAAACCTGGGAGATGGAACATGTGCATGCAAGTCTTGCCCATTCCTGCATATCCCCATTTTACACTTTGAATTGCAAAGTAGACTATAAAAGGACCAGAAGAAAATGCAGATAACTTTTGGTCAATAGCATGGGAAAGAATATCTAAACATAAAAGCAAAGGAAAAAATTATAGAGGAAAACATATTTGATGCATAAAATTTTTAAATATCAGTATATCAAAAAGAGTCATAAAAGCTACAAAGCAAAAGAAAATACATATAACTAAAAGGTTGCATTCTTAATGTATTGCAAGTCTTTAAACTTATGTGAAATGATAAATAATACTTATTAACCATTCAAAAAACCTTAATTGAACTTATACCCTAATACCGTTTGAGCTTCAGTAGGTGACCCCTGCCACACTGTTCCATGACTGACAGGTGTCCTAGAATGTGAGACTTTCACTGCTAAAGCCAGTACAGTCCCAGACAATCTTAACAGTCAAATAGAACTGGATTCAAGTTTGCATTGCCTCCCACATGACTTTCAACATGTTACTCCACATTAATGAGTCTCGGTCTCCTCAGTTCTAAATGGGTGCCAACACAAGTACTTTAAGGATCTGGGAGATTAAACAAGAAAAATGTACAGAGCTTACACACCTGGCACACAGCACACACACAATAAATGGTAACTGTGATGATTTTTATTATGATCATCATCAATATTGTTATCATCATTGTTTGCCAGCTACGAAAACCTACCGATCTCTTCCCAGTATCCATTCTTATTCCTGTCTACATAACCCCAGCTTGGGGGAAAGATTAAACAAACACTGCTGAATTCCTGGATACAAGTCATCATCTGACCTAGTTCTGGCAACTGAAAAAAAAAGGGAGGGGGCAGTTTTTGATGGGACTTCCAGGAATGTTCTTTAAAATATGTGGATGCATGGGAAGGGAGGGAGAGGGCAGACTTGGCTGGCATGGACATTTCGTCCTTGGCTCTTTCATTTCTTCCTGCCTGAAACACGGACTCAATTCTGGAAGCAAAGCAGCCGTCTCATAATCCCAAGGATGAAAAGCACATGCCAGGGTGGCTTAGTGGAAAGATACGAGTCCATTTCTCTGCTGGCATCATGGAGACACAGTACCAATCCTAGGTTTTTTACTTTTGGACTTTTCATTCTGAGAGAAAAAAATAAAAGTCTTTATTTAATCCACTGTTTCCAGGTTTGTGTTATTCACGGCCAAACACAATTCCCAATCAATACATTAGTCATTCTAATATAAATGTAGGCAAAGGACTCAAACAGGCAATTTAACAATAACAACAACAAAAGGCAAACATTGGGCACATCTATGACAAAACTTACTACATTATTATTAATACATAAATATAAACATGACACCATGTTTAGCTGTCATGTTGACAATAGAGAATAATATTTAAAACACCATATTTGACAATTACCAAATATAACAATTATTTTTATTATGCTATGCTTTCTTCTGGCTTTTCTTTTCTTTTTTTGAAATCGTGTCTTGCTCTTAAAGCGGGTCTCACTCTGTCACCCAGGCTGGAATGCAGTGGTACAATCATGGCTCACTGCAGCCTCAATCTACCCAGGCTCAGGTGATTCTCCCACCTCAGTCTGCCAAGTAGCTTGGACTACAGGCATGCACCATCATGCCCAGCTAGTTTTTGTATTTTTTAGAAAGGGTTTCACCATGTTGCCTAGGTTGGTCTTGAACTTCTGGGCTCAAGGGATCTGCCCACCTCAGCCTCCCAAAGTTCTGGAATTACAGGTGTGTGCCACAGTGCCCATCCTCTTTTGACATTTTAAAAGAAATAAAATGCAATAGAAGTGTCCTTTTATTCACATAGAGGGGAACAACACACACTGGGGCCTGTTGGAGGGTAGAGGGTTAGGAGGAGGGAGAGGATCAGGGAAAATAACTAATAGGTACTAGGCTTACTACTTGAGTAATGAAATAATCATGACACAAGTTTACCTCTATAACAAGCCTGCATATGTACCCCTGAACTTAAAATAGAAGTTAAATTTTAAAAAGAAGGGTTGGCTACTAGGCAAGATGGCCAAATAGGAACAGCTCCGGTCTGCAATTCCCAGCGAGACCAATGAAGAAGGTGGGTGATTTCTGCATTTCCAACTGAGGTATGCAGTTCATCTCATTGGGACTGTCTGGACAGTGGGTGCAGCCCACAGAGGGCAAGCCCAAGCAGGGTGGGGCATTGCCTCACCTGGGAAGCACAAGGGGTTGGGGAACTCCTTCCCCTTGCCAAGGGAAGCCTTGACGGACTGTGCCATGAGGGACCGTGCATTCAGGCCCAGAAACTAAGCTTTTCCCACAGTCTTCTCAACCCTCAAACCAGGAGATTTCCTCAGGTGCCTACGCCACCAGGACTTTGGGTTTCAAGCACAAAACCGACCAGCTGTTTGGGAAGACACTGAGCTAGCTGCAGGAGTTTTTTTCATACCCCAGTGGCACCTGAAACACCAGCAAGACAGAACCATTCACACCCCTGGAAAGGGGGCTGAAGCTAAGGAGCTGAGTGGTCTTGCTCAGCAGATTCCACCCCCATGGTGCCCAACAAGCTAAGATCCACTGGCTTGAAATTCTCACTGCCAGCACAGCGGTCTGAAGTTGACCTGCTCGAGCTTGGTGGGGCGAGGGATGTCTGCCATTACTGAGGCTTCAGTAGGTGTCTTTCCCCTCACAGTGTAAACAAAGCCACCGGGAAGTTAGAACTGGGTGAAGCACATCGCAGCTCTGCAAATGCACTGTAGCCAGACTGCATCTCTAGATTCCTCCTCTTTGGGTGGGGCATCTCTGAAAGAAAGGCAGCAGCCCCAGTCAGGGGCTTATAGATGAAACTCCCATCTCCCTGGGACAGAGCACCTGGGGGAAGGGGTGGCTGTGAATACAGCTTCAGCAGACTTAAACATTCTTGCCTGCTGGCTCTAAAGAGAGCAGAGGATCTCCAAGCACAGTGCTTGAGCTCTGCTAAGGGACAGACTGCCTCCTCAAGTGGATCCCTGGCCCCCTTCTGAGAGACAACTCTCAGCAGAAGTCAACAGACACCTCATACAGGAGAACTCCAACTGGCATCTGGCAGGTGCCCCTCTGGGACAAACCTTTCAGAAGAAGGAGCAGGCAGCAATCTTTACTGTTCTGCAACCTCCACTGGTGATACCCACACAAACAGGGTCTAGAGTGGACCTCCAGCAGACCCGCAGAAGAGGGGCTTCAATGTTAGAAGGAAAACCAACAAACAGAAAGCAGTAGCATCAATATCAACCAAAAGAACCCTCACTCAAAAACCCCATCTGAAGGTCACCAACATCAAAGATGAAAGGTAGATAAATCCATGAAAATGGGAAAAAAAACAGCTCAAAAAGACTGAAAATTCCAAAAACCAGAGTACCCCTTCTCCTCCAAAAAATCACAACTTCTCACCAGCAAGGGAACAAAACAGTATAAAGAATGAGTTTGATGAATTGACAGAAGTAGGCTTCAGAAGGTGGGTAATAATAAACTCCTCAGAGGTAAAGGAGCATGTTCTAATCCAGTGCAAGGAAGCTAAGAACTGTGATAAAAGGTTACAGGAACTGGTAACTAGAATAACCAGTTTAGAGAAGAACATAAATGACCTGATGGAGCTGAAAAACATAGCACAAGAACTTCGTGAAGCATACACAAGTTTCAGTAGCCAAATTGATCAAGTGAAAGAAGGGATTTCAGAGATTGAAGATCAACTTAATGAAATAAACCATGAAGACAAGACTGGAGAAAAAAAGAATGAAAAGGAACAAACAAAGCCTCCAAGAATTATAGGACTATGTGAAGAGACCAAACCTACATTTGATTGGTGTACTTGAAAGTGACGAGGAGCTTTCAAGAAGCTCCATTTCCAAATGGAACCAAGTTGGAAAACACTCTTCAGGATATTATCCAGAACTTCCCCAACCTAGCAAGGCAGATCAACAATTCAAATTCAGGAAATACAGAGAACACCACAAAGATGTTCTCAAGAAGAGCAACCCCAAGACACATAATCGCCAGATACACCAAGGTTGTAATGAAGAAAAAAAATTTTAAGGGCAACCAGAGAGAAAGGTCAGTTTACCCACAAACGGAAGCCCATCAGACTAACAGCAGGTCTCTCTGCAGAAACTCTACAAGACAGAAGAGAGTGGGGGCCAATATTCAACATTCTTAAAGGAAAGAATTTTCAACCTAGAATTTCATATCCAGCCAAACCAAGTTTCAAAAGTGAAGGAGAAATAAAATCCTTTACAGACAAGCAAATGCTGAGTGAGTTTGTCACCACCAGGCCTGCCTTACAAGAGTTCCTGAAAGAAGCACTAAATATGGAAAGGAAACACCAGTACCAACCACTGCAAAAACATACCAAATTGTAAAGACCATTGATGCTAGGAAGAACCTGCATCTACTAATGGGCAAAATCACCAGCTAGCATCATAATGACAAGATCAAATTCACACATAACAGTATTAATCTTAAATGTAAACAGGCTAAACGCTCCAATTAAAAGACACAGACTGGCAAATTGGATAGAGTCAAGACCCATCAGTATGCTGTATTCCAGAGACCCATCTCACATGCAAAGATACATATAGGCTCAAAACAAAGGGATGGAGGAAGATTTACCAAGCAAATGGAAAGTAAAAAAAAAAAAAGCAGGGGTTGCAATCCTAGTCTCTGATAAAACAGACTTCAAACCAACAAAGATTTAAAAAGACAAGGAAGGGCATTACATAATGGTAAAGGGATCAATGCAACAAGAAGAGCTAACTATCCTAAATACATATGCGCCCAATACAGGAGCACCCAGATTCATAAAACAAGTTCTCAGAGACCTACAAGGAGACTTAGACTCCCACACAATAATAGCGGGAAATTTTAACACCCTACTGTCAATATTAGACAGATAGAGACAGAAAATTAACAAGGATATTCAGGACTTGAACTCAGCTCTCGACCAAGTGGACCTAATAGACATCTACAGAACTCTCCACCCCAAGTGAACAGAATATACATTCTTCTCAGCACCACATAGCACTTATTCTAAAATTGACCACATGGTTGAAAGTAAAACATTCCTCAGCAAATGCAAAATAACAGAAATCATAACAAACAGTCTCTCAGACCACAGTGCAATCAAATTAGAACTCAGGTTTCAGAAACTCACTCAAAACCACACAACTACGTGGAAACTCAACAACCTGCAAAGCAGAAATAAATACGTTCTTTGAAACCAATGAGAACAAAGATGCAATATACCAGAATCTCAGACACAACTACAGCAGTGTGTAGAGGGAAATTTATAGCACTAAATGCCCACAGGAGAAAGTGGGAAAGATCTAAAATCAACTCCCTAACATCACAATTAAAAGAACTAGAGAAGCGAGAGCAAACAAACCCAAAAGCTAGCAGAAGACAAGAAATAACTAAGATCAGAGCAGAACTGAAGGAGATAGACACCAAAAAAAAACCCTTTAAAAAAATCAATGAATTCAGGAGCTGGTTTTTTGAAAAGATTAACAAAATTGATAGACCACTAGCCAGACTAATAAAGAACAAAAGAGAGAAGAATTAAATAGACACAATAAAAAATGATAAAGGGGATATCACCACTGATCCCACAGAAATGGAAACTACTATCAGAGAATACTCTAAACAGTTCTACAAAAATAAGCTAGAAAATCTGGAAGAAATGGATAAATTCCTGGATGCATACACCCTCCTAAGACTAAACCAGAAAGAAGTCGAATCCCTAAATAGACTAATAACAAGTTCTGAAATTGAGGCAGTAATTAATACCTACCAACCAGAAAAAGCCCAGGACCAGACGGATTCACAGCCAAATTCTACCACAGGTACAAAGAGGAGCTGGTACCATTCCTTCTAAAACTATTCCAAACAGTAGAAAAAGAGGGCTCCTCCCTAACTCATTTTAGGAGGCCAGCATCATCCTGATACCAAAACCTAGCGGAGACACAACAAAAAAAGAAAATTTCAGGCCAATATCCCTGATGAATATTGACGTGAAAATCCTCAATAAAATACTGGCAAACCGAATCTAGCAACATATTTAAAAGCTTGTCCACTATGATCAAGTCGGCTTCATCCATGGGATA